CAACATAACAAAACCTTCGATTACTTTTCATGGGGATATGTTATCATTGGTTTAAAAAAAGACAAATCAGTAACTCTTGAAGCATTGGAAACCAATATTTAAGCAACTATTGACGCCATACGGCTAGACTTATTAGAAAAAGTAGTGAAAAATTGGACTGATCGAATGGACTATGTTAATCGTAGCTACGGAGTACGTAACGGAAATCATATTTAAAAAATAAATGCCATGAAGTTATCTACCAGATTATAATAATAAAAAATTCATGCCAACAATATTTCTGTCTTGTATTATTATTTAAAATTCTCAAGCTCTTGAAAAAACACCTTTACCTAGCAAATGTGAAACATATTCATGTTGTGTAGGGAACAATCTATCGATATAAAGTAAAAACACCCATGGTTTGTACGGCATGAATGAACTCCATAGTGCCTGCCATAGTTTAGAAATAAATGAAATATTTTTATTATTTGTTAATATAATGTTCTGAGTGACGTGATGGAATATGGAAACCTACAGATACGTGGTATCCTCTGGGGACCAAAATTTTATGTCTCAGTGCCTGTAATCATACTTTCTCTCTTTATCCTTCTGACTGGAACACAGTGTAAGAAATAGGTAAAAAGGAAGGTACCTATCCATAAGAACTCTTAAGTAGAATAGGAAACCTACCACCAAGTAGAATTATTTTTTGAATTAGATATTTTAAAAAGTAGAAGTGTGTTTCCTTCAAGGAAAATGTCGTCGGTGATTCGATACAATGCGTGTAAAATAACATCATTGCGCTTATTTATTTTTGGGCGGTACGTCTGCTACTGTCCAAAATTGTCCTGAATTAAAAGTATTGTTCACAAGTTCCGCGCATTGATAGCGTAAAACGAGAAATATTTTCAACAGTGAAAAATCTGGGCATTTTAAATTACTTAACTATTATCCTGACATAGATTTTAAGGATACTAATCATATCAAAATAGAAAAACGTCCGTCCGTGAAATACAATCAAAAAGTGCGTATTTACACGAGGACTAAGATTTTTTTATAGAAGTAAATGTAAAAAACGATCACACGGCTTATAGTAAATGTGGATGCTGTTGTCCATAGACACCTAAATCTATCCTTGATTAGGTTGACACGTTTGAAGATTTAAATGGAATGCCTAGTTACCAGTTTAAAAGGTCTCCAGGCTCTCACCACTCACCGTACGAAACAAAGATGCACCAATTTATTATGCGTTATTTTAGCGAATTTCATGCCCGATCGAGCCGATTTATTTATGTTGCATAATCTCCATAATAAGTTGCAGCTTGGGCCGGCATATTATGCCGGCATTAGGTCGGCATATGGGCAGCGTACTCGTAACCTAATAGTAATATAATTATAAAGGTTTTTTTTTTAAATTCCGAATTAAAGCATTTTATATAACTGGCAATGAGTTTATAATAGCAGCATAATGAGGTTATAGCAGTTTCCTCTATGATTTTAAAATTCAACTTTTTTCAATTAAATGATATAAAAATGTAAAAAATCCTAACTCAATATAAATACTATTATCACTTTAAATGAAGATAAAACTGAATTTAGCGCCGAAACTATAAATATCATTACAACTTATAAGGAGAACATATCTAATAAAAGATATATATAATCTAATATAAGAAACTGAGACCCTGGTCCAGGTTTCTAATGATTAATTAAGAAGAAATTACTTACGTCGAATTAAATCACTTTGAATGAAAAAAAAAACTGTCAATGAAAAAGTAAAAGTATTTCAATTGCTACGTGTTCAATGCTTTCAAAAACTCTGACTGATAATTACATATAGAAAACGGAAAATAATAAACGAAATACATCCTGGGATAAAATAATATAATTTTTCTATTGAATAATTTAGAAAATACGAGATTTCTAACATGTAAAGAGCAATATACGAGTACAATGGCTCCATAAATTTTATGCTACGATTTGTGTGTAAACACACTGAACATTATATTTTATCTTTCCTTTACATGATCTTGTGACATTTGAAATGTCCTTTGATAACATTAATAATTCAATAAGTTTTACCCTTATTTTCACGTTTTTCTTTATTTACCTCTTGAACATTACATTAATATTTTAATATATTCATTTACATAACAAGAATAAACAATATTTGTTATCATAATAAATCATTATCATCATCATTACATCCCTTTACAAGTTGACTGCTGAACATAGGACTCTGACAAGGAACGCCACATAGCACGGTCTTGAGTCTTGAGCAGCTATCGACTTTCCACATATCTTACCAGAGCGTCAATCCAACTAGGGGGGAGCCATGCTACACGTTACTTACCTGTATTAGTTGTACCTAATAACCTGTATCACTTACCTGTAGGGGTTGCCACTGGGGAACCTTTTTTCCTCATCGAGTGTTGTTTTTTCGAGCTATATTGCCACTTAATCCTTTGGGCTATGTCGATTACTCAGGTGCTATTTCCTGAGTTGGAATTATCAGGAATGTTCAATGCCTGATATCCTAATTTATAAATCTATCACGCAGAGAAAACCCCTAGCATAGCCGTCTTCATAGCTCGCTGAGTGACCTTGCACTTCTTCACACGGTCAGCAGTGAAAAACCACGTCTTAGATCCATTGGTTATATAATCTCGTTGTCAATTTTTAAGGTACGTAAGCCTGATAAGAACATGTGTCGTCATCTCCCGAACGCTGCCCAGCCGAGTTAAATTCCTCGATTGACCACCCGATTGAAGTTGGATTTGCCTTGTTGGACTATTTATCCTAGGTAAATATACACGTTGACATTTTGGAGCGTAGTGTATCACGGTAAGCTGCAGATAGGGTAATTACCCTATCTGCAGCTTACCATTTTCTCTTGTGTCTAGTTTTGTGTTGAAGTCTTCTATTAACACCGTATTGTGGAGTTTGGAGGAATGCACGGTTTTAGTGATATCCTCAAACATTTCCTCTACCTCCTCATCAGGCTTAGTCTTCAGGCCAAGGTTTTGCGTAAACCTGTATGACCTTAACGAATACTGTTTGATTATTTTGGCAATCTTCGTCGACGCGTTTTTAATCTTTACAGAGTTGTTAAAGAGAAACATGTGGCTGATTCTTCCGATACCTCTTTGTCCCAAAGATGGTCACCCTCCCCGTGATAGAACAAGTTGCCGGATTCGAAAGCTACCTTGTCCTTTCTCCTAGCTTCGAACATCGGATAATCCTATAATACAGCGCTACTTGTCTGTCTCTTCTTCCATTTTCTGGATCTTCTCGTCAGTCCGCAGTTTTTTGAAAAATGTTGGCCTGTTGTCATGATGGTTTGTTTGCCCTCTGTCTCCTCTTAAGGCACCCACGGGATGATATGGGGTGATTGATATCCTTACAACACCCTTACATAGTTCCTTCTCATCACTAATGATAAATTTTCTGATCGGGTATTACAAGTCAGTGGATATTAAGCAATCATTAACGTTTTATTTTGTTCTTACATGTTATTCTGTCTGTTTACAAACTAAATGTAAAAAATATTATTAAAAATTTTAGTAACTCACAACTGTATAAATTTTTTACTTTAGGGATTCACACAACTTTTCTTCGCCAATATTCCTTTGTGAAAATTTGTAGCAAGCGTAATAATACATGTCTCCGTATTTAATTTTATTTTAGAGAAAGAACAATAGAACAATAGCTTTGTAAAATAAATCTTAGACTCAATAATGCAGATTAATGGCAACGTTATGGGGCGATTACTGTTGCTATTGGGAAGTCTTTTAAGACATATTCGTAAATGCCTAATTTATCATATAAAATGCTATTTCTGATGATATTTTAATATTTCAAGAGCATTTTTTATAGAACAAGGGTGACAAACCAGCACACAGTCCACCTGATGGTTAGTGGATGCTGTGGCCCATAGACATCTACATTTATCCTCAATTAAGAATCAAAATGCAGAAGCGTTGTCACCCCTGAGGACTAAGATGGAATGCCTCGTTTCCAGTAAAATAAGGTCTCCGGATCTCCACATTCACCATACGAAACACGGCAGCATTAAGCTGCTATTTTACGCTGGTATTCTGTGAGAGCGTGTTCCTTCCCCGGTCGAGCCGACCCATTCGTGCTACAACCATAATATGGCTGCAGCGTGGCTCTACCAGGTATACTTTTAAATACTTTTTGATCCTTCAAAAGTATCATGATTAGGGCTGAAGCGGCGTGAGAGCTGGCTGAACTGAATAAATAGTACAAATATGTGCTTCTGCGAGATAACTTAGTGTTTGACTGTAGATTCTATTAGTCCTCAAGTTTGGAAAAGTTTTTAAAGGGATAGTTTCTTTATCCTTAAGTCCGCTTCATATCATTTTATGTGGTAACAAGATATTTACCTAGACTACCATCAATGTCCCGAAAACAGTGCCTTCATATCAACGTAGACCATCACCAACGTCCGGCCTCGAGACAGCTGATGCCATCCACAGATTGGTAGGCATAGTTATCGAGGTCGGTACACAAGTCCTGGCCGACATAAGTTATCGCTTGTGTGTCATTGTGTGAATACGCGTTAAAAATGTCTAGTCCGGTGAGGTCAACAACCTCCGCCGTGTTGAAGTGTGCCAGTTGCAATATAGTAATTAACGAAATATTAGCGTTTATCCAAAACAAATGTGATGTGATGGACGAGGAAGGAATCATTCGACTGTGTTCTTCAGCGTTCAAACCAGAGGAAATATGTACAGCAAAGAATCTTCTTTATAACTCCCTTAAAACAAAGAAGAAAATTGTTACTCGCAAGCGGGAAGGTAAAACTTTACGTGAACTAGAAGATATAATTACTACAATAAAAGAGGTCGATCCAGAGGACCTGCCAATTTTTGTTGCACGTGACCTGCAGAAACTTCCCCCCGGTGACATTCGATCACATCGATGTAACTCGATTGTTAAAAGACCTAATAATAATGCGAAATGAATTTGAGAGTTTTAAGGACAATTACGTAAATATGGAAAAGTTTTTGCAGCTCCAAAAAGAAGTACATATTTTGAAAAATTACACTTTAGTGAACAATTTTGAGGGTACAAATCTTGTTAAGAATAAGCGGGGCGCTGCCAATTTGTTGGATAATTTTGATTGTGATAGCGGTCCGATAGGAATAATTCATTTAACACAAGATTCAACGACCTCTAACAACGGCGCAAAGATTTCGACCTTGACTAATAACATGGTATGTGCTTCGGAACCTGTTCAACTTCAAACACAGCGCTCGCCGTCTCTGTCTTGCGCTCCGGCCAATGCATTAACTGTCTCCGCGCCACCTCCGCAGTGTTTTTTGCCCGTGGAGGCGGCTACTGCGGTTTCCGCCTGCGCCGAAAGTGCGGTGCGGGCCTCGCAAAACAAGTTTGACTGCGAACGTGTGATAGACGCTTCAAGCTGTAATGTCGACAACTTACCGAATGAGAATAATAATTTATGCGTTAGTATGGCGGAAATAGTACGAAATAATAATAAACATTGGAAAGACAAGGAGCAGAATGAAGAATGGAAAATTGTTCAGAGAAAAAGGTACAGAAACCGCTTTTTAAGTGAAAAGGGCACATGTATAGATGCAGAGCAAAAGTTTCGTGTAGCAGATATTAAAATACCTCTTTTTATAAATAATGTACACATAGATACATGTGAAAATGACATCATTAGTTACATAAAGAATAAAACTAATATTCAAGTAAGTTTACAAAAAATAAAAACAAAGCAGCAAAGGGACTACAGTTCATACAAGGTGTTTGTTCCTAAGCATAAGTTAAACTTATTCTTAAATTGTAACTTGTGGCCAGACGGAATTTCCTTCCGCCGCTTTGTTGACTTTCACAAAAGGGAAGTAAATAGAGGGACTCCATTACTCAGCGGTACAAATAAATTATAAATAGTATGGAAGGTACAACTTTTATTTCATTCAATTGTAAATCTCTCAAAAGATCAATGGATTGCGTCAGATCAATGAGTCAAAGAGCTGATATTATTGCGCTACAGGAGACATGGCTGTTACCCCATGAAATTCAGGAACTGAGCAATGTAAACAAAGCTTTCGGATACTTTGGCAAGTCAGCGGTTGATACGTCATCAGGACTATTGCGAGGAAGACCATATGGTGGGGTGGCTCTTTTATGGAATAGCTCAAAATTTGAGTGTGTGTCTGTGATACCATGCGCGAGTGATCGTATAGTTGCAATTAAACTTTGTGTTATGAGTCGTTCAATGCTAGTTTTTTTCAGTTTATATGCCTACTAATTCGCCTGAAAATTTTGTAGAGTATGTAGAATGCTTAGGCGAAATAGCGGCTATAGTAGAGAACAATAACATTGAATCTGTATTTGTTTTAGGAGATTTTAATGCACACCCAGGGGAGCTTTTTTGTAAAGAACTAATAAATTTTTGTAACGATCAAAACTGGGAGTGCATAGATCTAAAAACGTTAGGTCATAGTTCTAGCACATACACATATATTAGTGAAATTAATGGCAGTCGGCGCTGGCTCGACCACTGTTTGATCACTGAGGCCGCCCGTAGTTCCGTTACTGACGTTAAGGTGCATTATGATGTATTATGGTCAGACCATTTTCCACTAGAAATTCAGTGCAATATTAAAACTTTGACACAGTCGACGGGGCTGCCGCAGGCCACTTTAAATAAAGTAATCTGGGGGGAACGTGATGAGCAACAAACAAAAATCTTTACTAGAGTTTGTAACGAAAAATTAAAATTAATTGACTTTCCCCATGAGCTTGAGAAGTGTTGTGATTCAACTTGTAATGATTTGAGCCTAGAGCACATTAACGTAATTGACAAATTTTACAATAATATAATCTTATCACTCCAAGAGGCCGCGGAGATTAGTTTTAATTACAGTCAGGGGGGGAGGCAATAAGAGGGGTGGTCGACCCATTGCCGGGTGGAATAAATATGTACGTGACGCTCACCAGGACGCTAGGCAAGCATTTTTGACTTGGGTATGGTACGGACGACCCTCACAAGGTCGTATTTATGAGGATATGTATAGGTCTAGGAAAAATTTTAAGGAAAAATTAAAATTCTGTCAAAAAAATCAAGAATTAATTAAAATTAATATTTTAGCTACCTATCACAAAGATAAAGATTTTCGAAGCTTCTGGAAACACACCAAGAAATTAAGTCCGAAGCCTAGCGTACCGATTAGCGTTGAGGGTATTCAAGACCCCAGAGATATAGCTAACTTGTTCAGTTCTCATTTTAGGGTGCAGTCGCAGCTAAATGCACGGGGTGCTGATGTTGAGGTAATCGTATCTGGTGTGCCAAAACGTGTGACAGCTAAAGAGGTTGAACAGTTAATTAAAGGTATGAAAAGAGGCAAGTCACCGGGTCATGACGGCCTCAGCATTGAGCACTTCATGTATGCTGGGCCGCATCTCCCGAGGTTACTAGGTATGCTATTTACTTTCTGTATCAGACACTCATACCTGCCTGCAGAGTTGATGAGATCGGTCGTTGTTCCTATTGTTAAGAATAAAACTGGAGATATATCCGATAAGACCAACTATCGGCCGATTTCATTAGCTACCATCACAGCAAAAGTACTTGACGGTCTGGTTGAGAGACAGCTCAAGCGTCACCTGGTTCTGCACGACGCTCAATTCGGTTTCAGGCCAAAACTGTCAACTGAGTGCGCCATTCTGGCGCTCAAGCATACTGTCAGGTATTATATGGATAGGAAGACTCCGGTTTACGCGGCTTTTCTTGACTTGTCCAGGGCGTTTGACTTGGTTAGGTATGACATCCTGTGGAAAAAACTACAAAATTCAGGAGTTCCTGGTGAGATTATAAATATTCTTAAATATTGGTATGGCCACCAGACTAACCAAGTCAAATGGTTGGATCAGCTTTCTGATGCGTACGGATTGGAGTGTGGGGTGAGGCAGGGTGGTTTGACCTCCCCGACGCTTTTTAATTTGTATATAGACGAGCTGATTGTTAGGCTTGGCAACACCAGTGTCGGCTGTTTCATTGATGGTCTGTGTGTAAACAGCATCAGTTACGCGGACGACATGGTGTTGCTGAGCCCGTCAGTTGCTGCTCTAAGAAGGCTGATCTCAATATGCGAGGAGTATGCTGAATCCCACGGCCTATTGTATAATGCTAGAAAAAGCGAGTTGATGGTTTTTAAAGCCAGGACTCGTAAGGTGATGTATGTACCGCCTGTCAAACTCAACGGTAGTGAACTTGTAAAGGTGCCATCCTTCAAGTATCTCGGTCACGTGGTTACCGAGGACTTGAAGGATGACAAGGATATTGAAAGGGAAAGGAGGGTGATGGCAGTCCGCTGCAACATGTTGGCTCGCAGATTTGCACGTAGCAGTCCAGATGTAAAAATAACACTGTTTAAGGCATACTGCCAAACGCTTTATACGTGCAATCTATGGGTCAACTACACGCGGGGGGGCTATCGGCGCTCTCCGAGTACAATATAATAATGGTCTGAGAATGTTGTTGGGGCTTCCAAGTTACTGTAGTGCATCAGGGATGTTTGCATTGGCGCACACTGATGGGTTTTACACCGTAGTGCGCAAGCGAATCGCATCCCTGCTGCGCACGGTGCGGGGGAGCGCCAACACCATTCTCAGAGTAATCAGTGAAAAGCCTGACTGTCCGATACTGCGGCACTGGGTGTACGCTCACACACATGTTGCAGGGGTGTCGCGCAGTGCAGGCAGATATTTAAATTAAAATAAATATTTTCCAAAATATTACTAACCTAGTTTTTAAGATGTCTTTGTATGCTACTAACAATATTATGGACAACAGTCTGAAATAAATCAATTTTATTTTATTTTATTTTATTTATTTTATAAGGGCCAGGGCAGACCCAGTAACCGCCGTGATGAAGGCACTGGCAACATTACTGGCTAGGCACTACGGAGGACAGTAACCTGCGTCTGCTTTACTGGAACCCGGACGGGATTCAACAAAGAAACCATGAACTCCGCACGGTCTCCCAGCAGCAGGACATCCAGGTGATCTTGCTGCGAGAGACCAAAATAAGACCATCAACGCATCTAAAACTGCCAAATTATACCATCTATACGAGGGACGAGGTCAACCCTCAAGGGATCGCTTATAGAGGGACAGCGATTCTGGTGAGTCCACCAAGTCGTCCACCAAGAACTGTACCTACAAGATTTCCAGACGATGCGTTCAATCGGCACAAAAATGGAGGCGGCGGGCGAGGAACTAAGGATCTTTGCAGCATACTACCCGCCAAGGAATCCATTCTACTCCTCAGACATCCGGACGTTTATGGAAGGTACGACACCCACCATCATCGCCGGGGACCTGAACGCCAAACACCCGGCGTGGGGGTCAAGATTGATCAACCCGCCGGATCGTGAGCTTCACGAGGATGTAGAAAACCATAATTACGACGTTCTAGGTCCCGAGGAACCAATGCACATTCCTGCAGAGCCTAGGAAGAGTCCGGATGTATTGGACATCTTGCTCTCTAGGAACGTCAACTACCCGGTAGTGGTAGAGGTGCTGTACGACCTAAATACACAGCACCTCCCGATTTTGATTACCCTTGGCACCAAGGCAGTGACTTCGCCGCCCAGAGCCGTTAAGACCAAGATAGACTGGAGGCTCTACCACCAACACCTGCAGGAGAAACCTCCAGTCTACGCACCGATCCACTAGCCACTAGCCTCTACGATCGTCCCTCTCTCTGGAAGGAAGGAAGAGCTGCCGCGAGATATACGCGTGCAGCTGAAACATAAAAGAGCGCTGAGGAAGCTCTGGGCGTGCACTCGCTGACCCAGAATCAAAACCAAATTGAACACCTTAACGGACGAACTGTCGGTTGCAATACAGGCCCACAGAGTAGAGGCCTGGGAGTGGCGCATTTGGAAGGCTGACGAACATCAAGCGTCGCTCTACACATTGAACCGGCAGTTAACGAAAACTCGCCTACCTGTTTGCCCGCTGACCAACAACGCGGGCGAGCAACGTTACGATGCCAAGGGCAGAGTGGATATCCTAGCAGAGCACTTCGAGGAGCAGTTTATACCGAACCCAGCAAGTGCGGAGTTCATGGAAATCCATACCTGGAAGGAGTGCCGCTATATTGCGGCTAGTGGCGTCTTTCCTCGTAGTCAGGAGATTCTACGTCTGTGTAGAGGACGCCGAGTCCGCAATAAAACCCATAACAGCTGGTGTGCCACAGGGCAGCTGTCTGTCTCCAATCCTGTACGCGGCTTACAGCAATGACATCCCCACCCTGGCAGGTCACTTGTGCGAATGGGAGGACGATGTAGAGCTGGCGCTATTTGCGGATAACAGTGCCTACTTCACCTCGTGCAGAAGAGCTCACGTCGCCACTGCCAAGATGCAACGTCTGCTGGACCTACTGCTACCATGGCTGGATGAGTGGAGGATAGCCATCAATGTTAGCAAGACGACCGCTCTGCTCACTCGCCACTTCAGAAGACTTCCACCACCGCTAACCCACAGAGGCATCGCATCGCATATGAAAAGGCCGTGACGTACCTTGGATGCGGTATTGACAGGATGTTGTGCATGACTGCGCACGTCAACTTCGTCGTCCGCAAAGCTCGATGTGCGCGGGCGATGCTCCGTCCAGTCCTGGTATCCAAGTTACCGGCAAAGTCGAAGTTGACCATATACAAAATGTACATAAGACCCCTGCTAACATACGCTGCTCCGGCCTGGTATGCGCTCCTGAGTGATCGACAGAAGCGGCGACTACAGGCCCAGCAGAATTTGTCATTACGAACCATAGTCGGTGCGGGTCGCTACGTCCGGAATGACGTCATAGCGGCCAACATCAGAATAGAGAGCCTAGAAGAATTCGTGGTCCGGCTGGCGCGCGGTACGTACGACCGCGCCGACAACGGGCCACATGAACACCTCAACGGCTTTACGCCGTTGCAAACACGGCCCGCGGATGGTCAACCCTACCCAAAAGAACTCCTCCCTATATAGATTAGGGATTCGAGTAAATCCCACAATGCCGCAGATAAGCCAACTCAGACAAAATCTTTGTGTTAAATACAAATATTGAGTTAACCTCCTTTTTCAAAAAAGGTTACCCGACTGCGACAAAAAGTCGTCATTGCAACAACAACGCCTTTAACGCCAAAGGTACCCAGGTCCGGCACACTGTAGTGTGCCGTGAGAAATGTCCGGGTAAAGGGGTATACCCCGAGGCCTGATACCTGCTGGGCAGAAAGCCCATGCAGATGACAACAGCTCAGATATTTACCTTCACATTCGCCCAGTGACATGATCTTATTATTCGTTTATTACCTCGTAAGTGAGTAACCTTCATTCGTAAAATAGTAAGTTGTTTATTTTATTTTAATAAAATAAAAAATGAGAAACGAGCACACAGTCTACCTGAAGGTAAGTGAATGTTGTAGCTCACAGATATTTGTATCTATTTCCGATTAAATCCAAATATTGTAATATAAAACAAATATGGTAGATATAAAAATATTTTATAGAATTTAAATAACGTACATTCTCAGCACGTGTTTAGTATAACTATTACGTAATACATATATTACGGTTAGGTTTGGACTAGTGAATGCTTTTGTGTAATTGTTCGTTTTATATTTATATATTTTGGTAGTTAAAAAAGGATAAAATTTAAACATTTCACAGCAAATCTATTGCGTTTACGGGAAGTGAAATTTAAGTGACGGGGCGTTGTATCAGAGGATCGAAACATCGTACTGCGATCGTTAATCCACTAAACTTAATTGCCAAGCGTGGCGATTATGGCACATGTTTCCTTTAAAGGGAAAGGGAAAACACAGCAATAGAATAGCGAAACAAGCGACATTATCATGATTAATTATTTATTGATCACACACATTATAACATACTTTATCATCACCATCATCATCATCAGTACATCCCTTTTTAAGTCCACTGCTGGAACATAGGCCACCCTCTAGGAATGCCTACATCGTAACATAGAAAATTAATATTAGTACTCTTTTATTATAACTTTATGCTCTGTTGTTCGTACTTTTAAGAAAGGTCTTGAAGAAAAGGAGTGTTCTTTTCTTCGAAACCTTTCTTAAAATTTGTTCTAAAAAAGACCAAGTCTTTACAATTTACACACATCTTAATTAGTATTCCACGTTCACGTATACCGTGCTCGTGTTACATCTAAATCACCACTTATTACCCATTAATGTCACATAAGCACTAATAATTTCTTATGAATTTAATTTCTCAGGAAACACTTTGCGAGATAAGTTTCTAGTCAATTAGGCTAATAGAATACCTCCGTACTTTCTAACGCAATTATGTCGTGAGTAATTCCTTACGTGATTTGATTGTATATAGCGCCATCTCATCAAAGTTTAAGCGTTCAAGGAGAATATAAATAGACATGTTATAAGGCGTTTCCGAATTAAATTAAACGAAAATTTATGGGAAGATCGAGATTATTTATATTATATTAAAGTTATTTCACATTAAAATTCTGCCACTTAATTGTATAAAAGTAACTCAGGAGGTAAATTACTTAAAAATTTCCCCTAGCAACAACGAAATTGCTTGTTTCAATTTTAAGCCTTTCTATGCCACGTGCTCGGTAGTGAAGTGAAACATCGTGAGGAAATCTGCATGTCTGAGAAATTAAAATGTTTCAAAAACCTATAAAGTCCGCTAATACGCATTAGTATAGCACGGGGGTTATATCCTTACCCTAAAAAACCTTTCATAAAGGGAAGAAGGTATGTGCCCACCTCTGGAACGTAAAGGTTGGGCTACGTAGAGGTATACAACTTTTTTGCCGCCATCTTGTTTTAGCGACAAATTTGACAATTATTTTGTGTAGCTACACAATATTTGATAAGGAACGTTTTTTTTGCTTGAGGAATGTGTTTTAATTATCGAAACGTTCTACTCAAATCAATCTACTATTGCGAAAACGCTCAGAAAATTGCGACCAATTTTCGGCACAAATTGCTTACCTTCACGACTCACAATAACTCGTTTCGTTGATAATTTTGAGCAGCATGGTATTATAACAAATAAACCAGTTCCTCATTGTGCCAGAAGAGGTCGTACGGAGAATAATTTTAAAAGTGTCGAGATACGTCGGAAACAGATGTTCTCTCTGACATACACGCAATCTCAAGCCCCCGGAGTGTTTTAATTTGTACCCCGGGTAGGAGAGATACGAAGTTTCAGCCAAGAGGACACCTGTGTCTCGGTTAGAAAGAGCAAGGCCAGGCCGGCTTCACCATTTTCAGGTGGTAGTGGTCTTGTCCGCAGTGTCATTAAAATGAAATTAAACATTTTTCGCCATTACACATCATAATTTATCCTCTCCATTCAATCAACTTATATTATACAACAACCTGTCTCGCTTACACACCATTTAAACTCCTTATTTTATCTTTCTCTTTTGTACCTACATTATTATCATATTTCCGTAACCTATCACATTAACCTTCGTTCCTTTCAAACTTTTATCCTTATAAGTAGAAACTAGAAATATTACTAAAATCTGCTGAGATGTTGTAGTTCAAATGGCAACAATAAAATTGTTTAAAACATGAAAAAACCTACTTCATTCCTTGCAATTAATATCTGTTTTTAGTATAGAAAGTTATTTGTAAATCGAGATATTAAATTGATTTACTTACAAATGGTCATATATTTATCGATAACCATTACCGTGTCTCAAAAGCATTGAGCTACATATTAAACTGTTTACACAACTATGTAAGACGTTGCATTAATCAAACATGTTTAATCACACACAACTCAATTCTACACTTAACTACTACAAGTAAGTATAATAAGTAAACTTTAGTCGTTTGGTAATTTAGCTGAATATTTGGACGATATTCAATTGGTAAACCTGCAAAATATGCTAATTTAATTGGCATATTCCAGACCTGTTCCCACCAGTGGAATGTATATAGACTTGTACCTTTCATTTTTTATTAACAAACGATGACGAAATGTATTGCTAGTTTTAAGTATTTTCAATGAAAGAATGAATTATACATTTATTATACAGCGTGACTCTACTACGTATATTTCTGTAAGTAGTTTATATTTCACTTAAGTAAGTTAGAATGCATTTTAAAGTATAAAGTATAATTTCCAAGAAATGTCCATTATTTTTCCAAAAAGTGCCGCAGTGTTAATTCTCATTCAAGCTCGCTGTCACGAAAACTTGTTTAAAATTTGTAAAAATTTTGTAAAAATTTTAAATTGTGTTATTAGTAAAACACCCCATTTTAAGGGTTCCGTTGTCAACTAGGAACCCTTATAGTTTCGCCATATCTGTCTGTCCGTCGGTCCGTCCTCGCTTAATCTCTGTGACCGTTAGCACTAGAAAGCTGAAATTTGGTACCAATATGTGTATCAATCACGCCGACAAAGTAGTAAAATAAAAATTGGAAAAAAATGTTTTATTAGATTAGCCCCCCTATATGTAAAGTGGGAAATGATTTTTAAGCTATTGCATAGCTTCTATCGCGGGCCTTGGGCGCGGGGACCGAATCCAGAAATTCATTCCGTAACGAAAAAACCTCACGCTCCCCACTCTGACGGGCACGGAGGTGTAGTTTGAAGGCCGTGAGGCCGTGCATCGTCTAACGTCGTTTCAGTTCGGCAGACTTCGGCACTCGGCAGACTTCGGCACGGTGTTTGTGTGCGTGCGACTAGACGTATGCGTGTACACTAGCTGCTAACTCAATGATAAAAATTCCTGAATAACCTACATGTATTGTAAGATATTAAAAATATTTTAAACAATATTAACTTTTCATTTATTCAATAATTATTTATGTAATCCAAGTATCCTGTTTACTCCAAAGAATACAGTTTTAATTTTTTTTTATTGGACAGATTGGCAAACGAGCACACAGTCCACCTGATGGTAAGTGGTTGCTGCAGCCCATAGACATTTACATCTATCCTCGATTACAAATCAAAATGCAGATGCGTTGTCACCCTTGAGGACTAAGATGGAATGCCTCATTTCCAGTAAAATGGGTCTTCGGTTATCTACACCCACCATACGAAACACAGCAGCATTAAGACACTATTTCACACCGGTATTCTGTGAGAGCGTGTTCCTTCCTAGGTCGATCCTGCCCATTAGTGCTATATACTACTAATACAACTGCAGCATGGATCTACCATGCATAAACTATATACACTTAACTACTCAAAATAGTCTCATATTTTGCTTGTAAGTGGACGAGACATTGTTATACTTAATAAGTTTAATTAGTTCTACATAATGTCAAACATTAACCGTGAACTAATTTCTTTAAAAAATGTACAACAAGTTATATATAATTATATATCAATTGGATTTAGCGAGCGAGAAATTGAAATCATGTCGTGTTTACGCCATCTAGCGTATTTTTAGCATACCACCTTGAAAGTTAATCAATGTTTGTTCGATAAAATCATTTTACGTATAAAATGCAGTAGATGGCGATATAACAAATTATTATTTTACTTGTGTACTCCAAAGAATATAGTTTTAATTTATTACACTTAAATTCTCAAAATACTCCCATATTATGCTTGTAAGCGGACAAGACATTGTTGTACTTAATAGGTATAATTAGTTCTACACAATGTCCAACACTAAATTTGAACTAATTTCTTTAAAAAATGTACAGTACCTACCTAATATCTAAGCATCTGAGTAATATTTTATGTTACATTACTTTTTACACACAAAAACAGTTCAAACTTAAAAAACTAACATAAAACTAATAAAATTATATTTATGTAAACTAAGTATCCATAAAATCTCATAATATAAGAAGTGATATATAAGTATATATCAATAGAATTTAGCCTGCGAGAAAATGAAATAGAACATTAAATTAAATCGTTTCCTGTTTATGCCGTCTAGCATATTTTATGCGTACTACCTTGAGAGTTAATCAATGTTTTTTCGATAAAATCATTTTACGTATAAAATGCAGTAGATGGCGCTATAACAAATTATTATTTTACTTGTTTACTTCAAAGAATACAGTTTTAATTTATTACAATTAACTTCTCAAAATATTACCATATTATGCTTGTCAGCGGACCAGACATTGTTATACTTAATAAGTTTAAGTAGTTCTACATAATGTCAAACATTAAACGTGAACTAATTTCTTTAAAAAATTTACAGTTCTTACCTAATATCTACGCATCTATTTAATATTTTATGTTACATTACCTTATATACACAAAAACAGTTCAAACTTAAAAAACTATCATTAAATGGAAAAATTATTATTTATGTAACCTAAGTATCCTTAACACTTAACCACCTAGCGTCGGTCACAGTAACTCCAGGCGATATATTTTTAAGCTATTGCATAGCTTCTATCGCGGGCCTTGAGCGCGGGGACCGAATCCAGAAATTCCGTAACGAAAAAAACCTCACGCTCCCCACTCCGACGGGCACGGAGGTGTGGCGTTGAAAGCCGTGCATCGTCTAACGTCGTTTCAGTTCGGCAGACTTCGGCACTCGGCAGACTTCGGCACTCGGCAGACTTCGGCATGGTGTTTGTGTGCGTGCAACTAGACGTATGCGTGTACACTAGCTGCTAACTCAATGATAAAAATTCCTGAATAACCTACATGTATTGTAAGATATTAAAAATATTTTAAACAATATTAACTTCTCATTTATTCAATAAGAGAAAAAAATTGTTTTCTTATCGGTCACCACGCTCAAAAAGTGTAACTTGATTTAATATCAAAGACTTAACTGCATAAATAAAATAAATAAATAATTATAATTGCATAAGTTGATAAAAAATGCTATGCAATAGCTTTAACGCGGCAGTCACCGAGTGCCACACGTATTTTTTTTAATTTCAACCCTAACGTGTGATATATTGTTGGAAAAGTATTTAAAAATGAATAGGGGTTTACTAAAATCATTTTTGATAATGTCAATAATTTCGGAAATAATCGCTCCAAAAGTAAAAAAAAATGTGTTCCCCCCTAACTTTTGAACCATAAGTTTAGAAAATATGAAAAAATCTTAAAAGTAGAACTTTATAAGGACTTTCTAGGAAAATTATTTTGAACTTGGATGGAAACAACAGTACCCACTACCGGGAGCAGTTGCAGGAGCCCGGAGCGCTGCTGGAGCGCGAACATAATGGATACCCACCATTAAACTCTTAAGTGGGAACACTTATTGTGACGGACGGGAAACTACGGAACCCTACACTGAGCGTGTCCCGACACGCTCTTGGCCGGT